AATATATTAGAAATCACCCTATATATTATTTTTCTTTATTTGACATCAATATCTAGATGTGCTAAAGAAATACCTTTAGATTGAGGGTCTCAAAACTTCAAAATTTTTAAAACAATGCTTGTGACAATTTCAGAAAATTTCTTCTGGACAATCTACTTCGAAGTATCAAAATATCCATAGGTTAAGTACATTTATATAATATCTAGATAATAATCTTCAATATTATGCAGTAATTAGGTAATTATATAATGTCAGGGGATGTTTGCTTTGTTCCTATAACTTTATGCAACTGTGCCTTGAATCATTAGTATTAATTATTTATAAGGCTTTTGAAAAGAACAATATTTGATAAATAAATCTTCTAAAGCACTGTTAAAAACACTGTTTTGTAATTTAAAAAAATATATGTATTTTTAAGAGAACAAATTTTGCAACATAACAGTTTTAAAAAAATAAATGAACAAGAATACAATTATTGTCGCATATTTCTTATATATTCGGCAAAAAGTTGCACCATTCTTTCTTGAGCCAGTGTCTGCCTCCGCATGAGCTCCAGCTGTTCCTGCCCTTGCCGCAGAAGTTGTTCTTGTATGGAACTAATAGAAACTTCTATATTAGATTACCTTTGTTATTTTCTAATTAGTCTTTACATGTTACTAAGATGATGAAAAATAAAAGTTATAGGTTTAATTACCAAAAATCTGTTTGCATTGCCTGTTCTTGAAAAGTTAAGCTGTAAAAAATTTAGTATGTCAATTTTTATATTACTTATTTATGTTTGACATTTTTACTGTGGACTTGTTTGGGTAAATGTTTCAACCATCATTGGTATATTAAGAATTAAATTATTTGGTTCAACCGAGGTTTCAACCATGTTAATTTCTGGAAGTACATCTTGCATCGCAGCAGAAGCTACTGGCCGCATAGAATCAAAACCTCCACCAGGTATGCCTCTAATGTAGGTTTTTCCAATGACATCATTTGTTCGTCAAAGGGCTCCATGTCACTGTCCGATGGTTCTGACCCACCGCCAGTAGTTTTGCGTTCATTATATTGTTTTGACACTATAAATAATTTAGTTGTAATTTTGTAAAACCAAAAGTATTTGTGCAATAAATAAGTATTAATGTATATAAATAAACAACTTTACACTTTTTTTTCGTCTCTCTTTTGAGATCCTTAATTTTTTTTTATTTGAGCCAAAGTTCGTGGGACAGGTCTGACTGNACTTTATGCAACTGTGCCTTGAATCATTAGTATTAATTATTTATAAGGCTTTTGAAAAGAACAGTATTTGATAAATAAATCTTCTAAAGCACTGTTAAAAACACTGTTTTGTAATTTAAAAAAATATATGTATTTTTAAGACAACAAATTTTGCAACATAACAGTTTTAAAAAAATAAATGAACAAGAATACAATTATTGTCGCATATTTCTTATATATTCGGCAAAAAGTTGCACCATTCTTTCTTGAGCCAGCTCCAGCTGTTCCTGCCCTTGCCGCAGAAGTTGTTCTTGTATGGAACTAATAG